AATACACTTAATTTAAGAAATTTTTACTTATTTCTAGATTGTTTTTCCAGAAATGAGCCTGTTATTCATCATAAACCCCAGTAAAAAGTTCACTAAAACTCTTATCCATTTAAAAAAAAGTACAGTTTTAAGAATTGTCAAATTTGTATTAAAGATGCTTTTGTTTAAAACTAACTTCTTAGCAGATTTTTTTTTAGTCCTCGTTGAATAAATAAACTCAAATTAATGTGAATTTTTAAGTTCAAAATTAAGCTCTTTTAAGAAAACATGAAGTTTAAAGTCGTTTTCCTATTTTTTTCCATAAAATGTTGATATGCTTTACATGTGTAAGAGATTATAAGTTGATGTGTGATTTATTACATTACTATAGTATTAAATATCTAAGAGAAGTAAATGAAAAGTCGGTCAGAAAAAGAATGATAATGGATTATTATCTATACCTACAACTAATACGTTTGCAGTGATTTAATAAATGTAGCATCAAAGAGTAAAAAAATAAAAGCAATATTTTTCATTGCAATCACTGAGTCTGGGACTGGGACTTGATCAACAGCCGATACCGCACCGTGACGTCACAAACCAGTAGGTGGCAGTTTTGTTCTTTGATAAACATGGATGCCTCCATTAAAGAAAATTCAAATGAAAATTACTCCTTATTAAAAACACTTATCATTTATTGAACAGGATGTAATAATTTCATATTTAAAGTACTTTCAGAAGTGACTTTTCCTTTAATACTAAGTGGAAAGCAGACAGTTTCTGCTCCTTTCTTGTGTAACTCTCAGTAGACCAGTAATAAAACAGACATTTACGTATTTTGTTAATAGAATAAATACAATACATTTTGCTTTGCAGTTTATTTATGTACATTTTGTTGCTTTTATAGCTGCCGGATCCTCTCATCTCGTTTTTTTAAACTCTGTATTTAGAAGCCACCTTAGATGGCTGCTTTTGGGAATACCAGACCCAGACAAAGAGGGAAGCTGGATCCAGACTGCATCCATCCTTGGACAGCAGAGGCACCCAGCGGTAGCCTGAAGGTGGAGAGGAGGGATGAAAAGGAACTTGCATCACACAGACAGACAGCATCACTTCCATTTTTTTTTTTTTGTAACTGTCCTGCTGAACGGAGTGAGGCCTTCAGCAGTGCTGACGCTGTGAATGTCAGAGCCCAATGATGGACTGCGGCGATATCTGATATAATCCCTCCACCTTACCCTCTTTAAATCACCCTCTATGGCCCGTGGCTCACCTTTCTTCAAGCTGGTAAAGGGCAGTGTGTACTGGCCCACGAATTCACTCTTGAAAAGGGTGTTCTGGTCGTGCACAGAGAAGCGGATGAGGCAGAGCTCAGGAACCCTGATCCTGAAGTTCATTTCAGCATTCCAGTGAGGACTCAGGGCTGGAATGGTGAAATCAGCGTTATTAATATCACAAAAGGTTCAGTGATTCTGGTAAGGCATTTAAGAACATACAGATATATGGTCATAAAGATACAATAGTCTCTACCATGTTTAGTACTAACAGTTAAAGGAATAGTACACCCAAAACATGATTAGCCTTCATTTTCTACTCACCCCCATGCTGAACAACACTC